GGCGGCGGCTCGGGTGGCTCTGGGGACAGGCCGCCACCGCCACTGTCGCTGTCGGAGCTGGGCGCGCTGTGCAGAGACAGCCCGCCCGGTGAGTGCAGGTGGCGGTTCTGACTCTTGAGCAGCTTCTTTTCGTGCTTGCGCTTCTTCTTTTCCATCTTCTCCAGCTCCTTGCGTGCGATCTCCTCCGGGTCCATGGGCTCGCCGCTGCATGTGGTTGGATGCGAGTTGTGCGCTGGCCTCCCCGGGCCCTTCTTAGTGTTCTCCTTCTTTCTCCACTTGGCCCGGCGGTTTTGGAACCAGACCTAGAGTAGCCGAACAGAGGAAAGGAAGGCATGATCAGGCGGCAGGCCCGCCGCTGCCGCTGTGGCCCCCACGCGCCCAGGAAGGCCTGCAGACCCGGCTCAGCCCTGCTGGCCCGGGGCTTGGCTTTGACACTGCAGGTTTCAGCGAGCATCTTTTCCACCCGGAAGGAATGTGCATGGGGCCTCCAGGCCTGCTTTCCGCTCTGGCTTCTCATCTCTGTACCTGAGGGCTGTGCGCTTTCCTCAGGCAAGGCTGTGGGGGCCAAGACAGAGGGCTGCAGGTTCCTGGTGGCCAAGCAGAGAACAGGGCCCTCCTTGCCCTTCTCAGCTTCTCACAACTCGAAGTCTAAGCAGCCTGCCCAGCCTGATGACGGCAATTCGTCCGGTCACCGAGCGCTTCACTGGGCAAGCGCCCTCCACACCTGTCTTCGACCCCCTGAAGATCGTCAAAGTCCACACTCCAGGGTCTCCCATGAAGGGAAATCCTTATACCTTTTCGAAGGCAAGGCCTGAGAATCATATGCGGATGGGCCTTCTGCAGCTCCCTCCCCAGTATAGCTACAAATATACTTCTTTCAGGGGGCTCTGGATCAGGAACCCACAGTCCCTTCCCAACCCAGTGTTGCTTGGCCTAGGCAGTAGGGCAATGCCTGGGCCCATTCTGCTTCATTCATACTCTCTGCAGGCCTTGTCCTAAGGAGCTACACTGGACTCCAGGGAAACAGCAGCCCTATACCCTTGCTCTAACAAGGGACTACCATACAGCCAAAGTCAAAATCCCTGCTGGGCCCACAAAGCCGAGGGCAGTACTGCTCTCCTCTAGAGAGTGAGAAAATTCAAATTCTTTGTTCTGATCAGAAGAGACTCCGAATAATAGCAGGCCGAGCCTGATGACAGCGAGTTTTGTCTGGGCAACGGACCTAGGCATTAAGCGGAGACCCCGAAGGCTGCCCCTGTTTTGCTTTCTTTTAAAAAACTTTTTGTTTGTTTGTTGGATGTGAATTTTGGCTGCCCTGCCACCAACAATTACTCATTATCATATTAGGGGAGAGATGAAGGGATCTTGGCTTCACTTAAGACACTTAGAACAAATTGGATAAAAGGATTTCAAAACAGAGGTGATCATGATGGGAGGACACAACACAAGACCAAAACACTTTTTTAGGCAAGGCTTTCGGTGCTAGACAGGTGGTTCTTCCAGCACCTATCTCAAAGACACGTGCCCACCACTGCACAAGGCACCCACCATCCCACGGACCCCAGTAAAAGGAGGTTTTGATGGTCCAAGGAAGCATCGAATTATACACACATCATCCTGAAATTTTAATACACTAAATCGACCCTGGCTTTTTTGTTGTTGTTGTTTTTAAGAATGCAGTTGGTTGGCTCCAAAAGAAATCAGTAATTAGGAGATAGGTGGCAGAAACAGAAAAGATAAAGCCTTAGAGGTATTAAAAATTTAGACATCTGTTTTTCTTCTCCACCTTCTCTACGAGTTAACCATTTGAGTTTCCGCCTCCCTTGCCTCAGCTGCCCCTTCTACAAAGCGATGAATAAACCCCGGTCCCATCTGAATATTTCACAGGCGGGAGGTAAACAGATCTGCTCACTCTGGCTGAAGGACCCTTCTGGTGAGCGCGTGGAGGGTCGGGCGCAAATCTCGCTTGCAGCCAGTGCCCCTCTGGCCGCTCCTTGCCGCATCGCGCAGCCGGACCTGACCTCTTTACGCGCGGCCTCCGCGAACCCATCGCGCTGCTTCCCGGTTCGCACGCAGCTTCGGTTCTGGCTGCTTTGGTGCTGCCACCAGCCCACTCAAGCCACCTCCGGCTTCAGGAGGGGAGGGGCTCAGCCCCAATGCTATCCCCACGCCCCTTAGCCCGGTGGGAGAGCGCAGAGCGGGCTCGGAGCCTGGAATCACATCCCGCCGGCCTGGAACAAAGGCGCGCGTGGCGCTCTGAACGCCCGGCGCGGGACTGCGAATCCGGGAGGGACACGAGTCTTTACCTGAACTCGGGACTCGACCAGGTCTAAGCGCAGCGCCAGCGCCTCGCGCATGAACACGTCGGGGTAGTGGCTCTCGTTGAACGCCTTCTCCAGCTCCTCCAGCTGCCAGCCGGTGAAGTTGGTGCGTGTGCGCCGCCGCTTGCAGCCCGGGCTCTCCTTGTCTGGGTCCCCCGAGTCTGAGGGCGCGCACAGAACGCGGCGCGGCTCAGCCACCGGCCCGGCCTGACCCTCTCCCTCCCCGCTGGCCGCGCCGTTCCAAGGGCGCACGGAGAAATAGCCGCGCGCTGGCCACCCCCGTCCCAGCGGTCCCCGATCCTCGCCGCACGCCCGTCCTACCTGACAGTTTGAAAGGCTGGCTGTCGCCGCCGACCCCGCAGGCGGCTGGCAGCAGCGGCGTGGGGTTGACTACCGAGGCGGCGGCCGCGGCGCACGAGCCACTGAGCAGGCCGTCGATGGAGAACGGCACTGATGCGGCGGCGGCAGCGGCAGCGGCGGCCGACTGTAGCTGGTGGCCGGCCAGCTCGTACACGTGGTGGTGGCCCAGCGGATAGGGGAAGCCCACCACGCCGCCCAGCGAGCCCCCGAACTGGGCATGCGGGTGCTCCAGGAGGCGGCCG